TGTGAATGCTTTCATGAGATTGTTAAAGAACGACGATAAAATTTTAGGAAGAAAGCTAACCGATTTCTGGTGGAGGATTGAGTTTCAGAACCGTGGAAGTCCTCATTTACACATGTGTTGGATAAAAAAGGCATCAAATTTTGATACTTTTGAAGGCAGATCTCTGATTAGTGAGATCGTATCATGTTCTTTAAATAACGAAGATGATGAGTTAAATGAAATTGTTAAAAGGGTGCAAATACACTCGCATTCATCAACCTGCTACAAAGATAGACAAAACCATCACTGCAGCTTTAATTTTCCAAGACCAGTAGGTAAGCGATGAGATAGTTTTGTTAGAACCTGATGAGACTTTGCGAAATAATGGACGATTCTGCCTTTTTCTACGACATTCTGATGAACAATATGTAAATAACTATAATACGCAGATATTAACACTATGGGAAAGTAATATGGACATACGGTCCTGTAGGAATGTAACAGCTATATCTTACTGTATAGCTAAAGTCAGAGCCTGTCATGGAGATATCCACGGGAGATATCGGTCGACAACTATTTGCTGTTTCTATGGCAATATTAAATCATCGCAGAGTGTCAGCATGTGAATGCGCATATAGATTAAAAATATTCGACGAAGTTACAAAACGTATTCGCATGGAAGTAACCACGAAGTAACTAATCAACTGAACATAGATGCTCCCTTAAAATTATTTGTTACGGATGAAGCTGGCAGCGGCAAATCGTTTGTATTCAAAACTTTAGTTGAACATATCCGCCGATGCTATGCTCCCACAGTAGATCAACTGGTGCATGCAAGTTATGTCGAAATTACTGCGCCTACTGGAATGGCAGCACGTCTCATTAACGGTTCAAAACTCTCCATAGTGCATTTCTGTGCAATCAGACAATTAACAAGACGGCGCTCGGCGTCTGGAAGATATGCAGAGAAAATGGCGTCACATCTGATGACTTGTGATAGATGAAATATCGATGGTGTCGTATGAAGTTTTACGAAGTATTCATCTACGCTTACAAGAATTAAAAAATACTTAAGAACTTTTTGATACATATTACCCATGAGATATTTAAATTTTCTAACATAGTTTTACGTTCGTATCGCTACAGACTACACTCCCAGAATATAATTGATAGGCGCAGTATTGTGCACTCTGCTTCTGTTCCGCTGTCGAACATTGGCATGGGGAGTCGACAAGTTTAAATGAAGTATAAGGATATGGGTTATTCTTGCCTATTTTCGAAATTATCAGCGATTGCACAGAATTAAAACTTCAACTGCTGAAAACGTAGGTAAAACCCCCATTCTCATAATGAGACGTAGTAAGATGAAACTCTATACCTATAGTTCAGTTTATTTTGAATGAAAAAAGGCGAGAGGGTGACTCTCTCTTCTCTTACTGACTAAAAATCACCCCGTTCCTTCTCCTGCTCTGGGCCGGGGCTGCGCCTGCAACCGCAACTCCGCTGTAAGGTGGTCTATGTAATGTGTGTTACTACCTATTCTCTAATTTCCTCTATACTTTTCTAAAATTTTCTTTCAATAGAATATTCTAGCAATTACAAACACAACAAAAAAAATGGCATAATTAATTTTATGCCGACTGATTGAGTTATGCAGTAATCAACACAACTCGCGATTAATTTTTATATTATACTAGGTGACCCAGCGAACTTTTTAGCCTTAGCGTAGCTTTGCTTTGATTCACTTGGGTACTTCATATTGCTGACAGTTATCTTATCTTATCCTTTCTTAGGTATGAGTATATAGTCCATAAGTGTTTATTCCATAGGATTCAATAATTCCACCATTTTTTTACAACTCGCTATCGAACATCTTGACATTTTGAAGTGAGCACTGAGCTCCTACTTTTACTTCGTTTTGGCCGTCAGGGTCCATGATGATCTCATAATTCATAATCTTCCACCATCTCATAATTTATAAGACACATTGTGGAATGCAATAAATAATTGAGCATTGAGCTCAACACTAAGCGCGCTCTAGAAAATTCTTTTCGCGCTTTCACGTTGCTCATAAGTTTGATTTGTCTTATACACATCTTTGACTTGCAGTATTTTGAGTTCTGCGACTTAAGTTTATAGGTACGTCTTCTTGGTGGCACTGTTAGAAATAAAAATAAAAAACAAAAAACATCCCCCGTTTTCTGTATAATCATGTATACCAAATTGTAATATTGTGTAGACATCAAAAGTTACCAAAAATGAATGTATTGTGATTAACAAACACTTATAAGTAAACATAAAATCTTTTTTTATGTAATAGGTCGGCAAACGAGCAGGCGGATTACCTGATGGTAAGCAATCAGAGCCGCCCATGGACACCCGCAACGGAGGAGTTTCGAGTACGTTGCCGACCTTTTAGGGATTGTAGATTTTAGGGACTGGGGAGGGATTGGGGAAGGGGAAGGATTGGGCCTCGGGTAACCTCACTCACACGGCGAAACACAACGCTGTGGTTGTTTCACGCCGGTTTTCTGTGAGGCCGTGGTATCGCTCCGGTCGAGCCGACCCATTCGTGACGAAGCATGGCTCCCCCACATTTGGTCTTTAGAACAAAACAAACTTTGTAAATAAATTAATTTTTGGCGCGGTTATGTATGTCACCAATTACCACAGATTAGTAAATAAGTTGTGCAAAGTTTGTATATGCGTTCTAAAATCGAACGCATAGTAGGTATAAATATTTTATTATTATAAAATACATACCTTCATTAAAATGAAATCATCACTGGTATTATTGGCGACGCAAAGATTATCCGCACGCAGTGCAGTGGCGAAATTTATAAACTGTCTCAGAACGACACTTTGTTTGTGTATTTGTTGAAGTTATGTTAGATTATTCAGATGGATCACGATTATATACGAAAACCTGTTGCTACAAACATAAGTGTGGGAGCGCCATGCTTCGGCACGAATGGGTCGGGTCGACCGGAGTGACACCACGGCCTCACAGAAAACCGACGTGAAATAACCACAGCGTTGTGTTTCACCGTGTGAGTGAGGTTACCGGAGGCCCAATCCTTTCCCTCCCCCAATCCCTCCTTAATCCCTAAATCTCCAAATCCCTAATCCCTAAAAGGTCGGCAACGCACTCGTGACTCCTCCGTTGCGAGTGTCCATGGGCGGCGCTGATTGCTTACCATCAGGTAATCCGTCTGCTCGTTTGCCGACTATGAAGCGAAGAAATTGTTGCGTTCCTCAATGAAGTACTTACGGAGTTACGGGAATAAGTTTTCATTTATTCCCAAAAGACAAAATTATGAAGAAAAAGTGGAAGACTGCTTTAAGAATAGGCAAGCCAATTTCACCATCAATGAGAGTTTGTTCTCATCATTTTCAAGCATTAAACTTTTTCCAAACAGAAAGTATAATTATGTTTTTATTATTTTATTTTAGGTAGGCACATCAATTATATTTATATGTATTTCATAAGTTATTCATTTAGTTTACAGTAAGGCGAGTTTCTCGTCAGATAACGAAATTATGATTATTGTTCCAGATTCTAAAAGGCACAAGTTGTTTTCTTATGTCGTACCGTCTCAGGATATATTCCTCAAATAAGCTCTGATAAAGAAGTACCATTAGAAAAGAGCACTCAAATAAATTTTCTTCCTATTTTGGAAGAGGATAGATCAGCTTTAAAGCAATTAACCCTATCAGATTTACTGAGTAGAAATATGTACCTTTTAATTTACTTTTACGGGTATTCGTTCAATAGAACTTTTAGAAACATCGACTATTGACAGCATCATTATTGTCTTACGGCTGATTTTTCAATGGTTAGATAAAAGTTAGGTACCTGTGGAATACTTACGATGATGTCGCGTCAGAATATTTGTTTAAGACAGTGACAGCAACAATTTTATTCCTCAGATAACATTTATCTGATTATTGAAAAATCAGCCATTAAACAGCAAAATGCCACTTAAATCTGATTTTTATTTATAACTAGCGGCCCACCCCCGCTTCGCTCGGGTCCAACTATCTCGCTATCAAAGGGTCAATTTTTCCTAATCTTCCCGTCTACTTTTCTAATATTTTCTTTCATAAGAACCTTCTCCTGACAATAACACACATAACAAAAAAAACAGTAGAATTGGTCCAGGCGTTTTTGAGTTATGCGCTTACCAACACATTTCGCGATTCATTTTTATATTATAGAATATTATTTTTTTCCCTGACGTTAATTGTTAGGAAAACTGTCAAAGTATCGTTCTTAGACAGCTTCACAATTTTGACACTAGAGGCGCTAGTTAGAATATTTGCATCGCCAATTAGGTAATAGTACCGTCAAAATCGGTATAATGAATACTATATAGGTATTTATTTATAAATAAATGTTCCGTGGCGATTTATTGCCAAAAATAATAAATGTCCGCTTTTCCGAACAAACGATGCTCTTTCAATATAGTCTGTAGCTGAATGACGTTGACATTCGTAACGCGCGTTTTTTTAAATACCTATTCAAAATAGTGTACACATTATATTTTTCAATCTTTCTGAGAGATCTTCTTAATATTTTTTTATGCATGAATAATATTTTATGAATTACAATCATGTTACGTCGTGACAACGGGGAACAGTTTTATTTTAAATACTCATAGGTATATATTTAAGTATACAAAATGTAAGTGATTATATCAAATAAATTACCTTGATCTATATTTGAAAGAGCAGATTGAATATTTAAAGTAAATATGTATGTAGGTGTAGGCAGGTAGTGTAGAATCATGAATGTATGCTAATTTTGCAAAACTAAATTTTACTAACTAAACTAGATATTAACTTAATGACACAGCAATAATTTGTTTACCTCATCACCGTCATGGCGCTAGTTCAGTATATCTAATATAATAATAATAACTAACAACAACAGGTCTTGTGGTTAATGTGGTTAGGTGTAATCATATAACGCAAATTTTGCTATTATAAACATTTATTTACAAAAACTTAAGATTATTATGTGCAAAAAAGTCTTCTAGTGTACGTTGTACAAACGTATATCTACGTATGAATTGTTCATTTAATTTGCGTTAGCCACAATCCAGTCAGCGTAATGAGAAACGCGAGCACTGACTCCTGGGTAGAAGGAATGACCGCAACCAAATCCCCAAGATGTGACACCGACAATAATGTCTCCGTGATGAGCCAGGGGACCACCAGAGTCACCCTGGCAGGCGTCCTTGCCACCCACATCCAGTTTCCCCGCGCACAACATGCCTTCGTTAATGTCTGGCCATTCCTCATAACCAGGCTGAGTCTTGAGATAGGCATAACGAGCAGCACAAACTTCCTGGTTGATGACGTTAACATGGACATGCAACAACTGCTCCGATAGTGGACCGTTGGTCTGTAACATCCAAAAATTACATTTACAACAACAGATATAATTTAATACCGGTGAAAAGGAGAAAGAACGAGTCTGTTTCTAGTAAGTAACATGAGAAGCTTTTTTAAAGTTTTCATAATAATACAAATATTTTTTTCTTTTCCTTTCACGGAAGCACAGAATCCCGGACCTTCAGAAGACAAACATTTTTATTATAATGATAGTTATAACATACCCATTGTCTGCCCCAGCCAACGTGTGCTACAATGGACCCGTCAGCCAAGCTGTATTCATGGCCGGGGATCCTAGCTGGTCGGATACTGTCTGAGTACACAGCTGGTACGCTGAGACGAACGATGGCCACGTCGTTGTTCAAGATTTCATCTATGTATTGAGGGTGCATGATGATACGCTGGATAGAGTGGGCAGAGCCACCATAGCTTCGGAACGAGGTGCCGAGGACAACGCGCCATTGCCATTCAAAATCTTTACTGAAAATAATTAATTGTTTAATTAGTATTAGAAGTAACTAATAATTAATGAAACATTTGTTTCTAAAATGCATTTAGCCGACTTTATTCAAAATCAGCCATAAAAGGCTACCAGTGAGAACTAGCCACACCCCTATTGTAGATATCTACATCTAAATGATGTCAAGTAAGTATAAATTTTACTCAGGAAAACAAAACGAACATTTAAAAAAATCATTCCACTGTAATAAACTTATTGACATTTTATGTTAGGTACTTACTAGAAGCAGTGGGCTGCGGAAAGCACCGAAGTCGTAGTCAACAAAGAACCTCCACAATTTTGTGTGAAGAAGGTACCAAAGAAGGAATATTGCATGTTCGCCATGTACGGGTACCTCTCAATATGAGTTCGGTACCGCCGACAATACGGCTGGGGTTTCTGGGAACCGCTAAAAAATTAAAGGAATATTATTTTGTAGCTTAAGCAAAATGATTCTGAAACTAGCATTTTGCCGCCAGATAGAGGTGGAGAACATTTTATGTTAAAAAAATCCAGGTCTGGGTGTGATGTGCGGATTATATAGAGTTGACACACACGGGTATCGAATCCGCGCCATAGTACGTAGCAGCCAATTGCAGTCGTTCGCCAAAAAAATCGCCGAATTTCATCGAAAATTCTTGCTGTGTCTTCAACCAACACAACTTTCCAGAAAATACAGTTTCAAGAAAAATACTTCCATATATTTAAGACTTAATAAAATTTTATATATTTATATACATATAGAGAGAATAGCCTACAACGTTGCGACAAATCGTTTTTTTACTTACCGAGAGCGGAGCCCAAAATGGCCAACAGGATGATGGCACGCATGGTTCTAGCCAATCGAGTTCTATAATGAGAATGAATGAATATTAACATTACAGACCTTAGTATTTATACTACTACTGATATTTTATCAAAATCATTTGTCGTCATTGGACGTATGTAATTTTAGGTTTTCCATTAAGAAAACCCAAAGCAGTAGTTTTATCTAGTTTTGCAATCCAATCACATCTACAGCTAAAAATAAATTGTTTAATCTATATGGTTATCAGTTCCGAATTACGTCTGTAATTCTAAATAATTAAGTCTAAAAAATTGTCAACAACATCACGACGTCGCTAAGGGCTGACGAAGGCTTGCTGCTTACCAGCGATCAGCGCTTGCAGTTAACTAAATTGCTTCAACGCCATGAAGATGTGTTCCGTCTAGGAGGAGAGGCGACTCGCTTCGCCGAACATCAAATTGACACCGGAGATCATGCACCTATCGCGGTGCCCCCATATCGCCTCACGCCCGCTAAGAGGGCCGCAATGGAGGCAGAGATCAAGAAGATGTTGTCTGATGGTGTGATTGAGGAGTGCGAGTCGGCGGGGGCCGCGCCCGCTCTCCTCGACCCTAAGAAGGATGGTACGTATCGGTTCTGTGTTGATTACCGCCGTCTCAACGCGGTTACTAAAAGCAATAATTACCCTTTGCCGGTCATCGAGGACCTCCTTCACGCCACCAAAAGAGAGGGGTACATGAGTACCATAGACCTTCGGTCAGGTTACTGGCAGGTAAGCGTATCTCCTGCGGACAGGGATAAGACTGCATTCGTGTCACCTCTCGGTACGTACCGTTTTACTCGTATGCCATTCGGTCTCAAGAACGCCCCGGCCACCTTCCAGAGATTGATGGACCGTTTTCGGTCTGGGAGCGTTTTGAAGGACGTTACCTTATTGTGTTATTTAGATGATCTCCTGGTTCTGTCTGAAGGTGATTTCCAAAAACATCTGGAAGACCTGGAAGCTGTATTTAACCGCCTACGACTGTTTGGATTACGTGCCAATAGGGATAAATGTCACTTCGCCTGTAACCAAGTTAAGTATTTAGGTCACCTTATTACTCCCAAGGGTATAATGCCTGATGAGTCCAAGGTGCAGGCTATCCAGCAGATGAATGAGCCTGTTAACCTCAAGCACTTGAAAAGCTTCCTACAGACTTGTTCGTGGTTTCGTAAGTTTGTGCCTGGATTTTCCGAAATAGCTCAACCTCTTACTAAGCTCACCAGGAAGAACGAACCGTGGACTTGGACTGAAGATCAGCGGCGAGCTTTCAATGAACTAAAGAAGAGGCTCATTACAGCACCAGTCCTCGTGCAAGCCGACTATAGTAAACCATTTATCATTCATACAGATGCTAGTAATTACGCTTTAGGTGCCGTACTGTTGCAAGGTGAAGGTAACGACATGCACCCTATCGAATATTCCAGTCGGCTGCTTACGTCTGCGGAACGTAAGTACTCAACTACAGAGCGAGAGGCGCTCGCTGTAGTCTGGGCCGTTGAAAAGTACCGCCCATATATTGAAGGCCACCCCGTTATCCTGCGTAGTGACCACCAACCGCTAAAGTGGTTGTTAACTTTAAAGTCTCCCAGTGGCAGGTTGATGCGCTGGGCTCTCAAATTACAAGCGTTCGACATCCGCTACGAGTATACTCCCGGTAAAACTAACGTTATTGCTGATACTCTTAGTCGCCCTGCTTGTAGCGAGGCTTCCCAGGACGACTGTGGGGTCTGTTCGGTAATCTTGGACGTACCTCGCAAGAGTGCAACCGACCTTCGGTCGGCTCAGCTGGATGATTCTGAGGTAAGTAAGATCATCAAAGATATCGAAAACACCACTGATACCGTTGCTTCCACCCGCTGGTTAGAGCGCGGTTACCTTATGGATCAGGGGGTCCTTTACCGCTATGCTCCCGAGACTGAGTCCGAAGAACCACAGTTAGTGATTCCCGTTTCCATGCTCAAGGATGTAATGGAAGAATTTCATGACGCACCTACAGCTGGTCACCAAGGGGTAGAGCGGACGATTAACCGCATCAAACAGCGATATTACTTCACAGGTATGCGTAAGTACGTATCAGACTATCTGAAAAATTGTGTAGACTGTCAAAGGTATAAGTTTTCCAATCAGAAACCTTCCGGACTTCTGCAGACACCAGTACTAAACCAACGAGGTGAGGTACTTGCTATAGATTTGTTTGGTCCTCTTCCGGAAGCGGAGTCTGGCGAGAAGTGGGTATTCCTTGTTGAGGATACTGCCACACGATGGGTCGACTTATACGCCATCAAGGAGGCTACAGCTGAAGTATGTGCTAAATTACTGATCGAAGAGTATTTCCTTCGATATGGTTTTCCTAGACGTGTCATTTCCGACAATGGAGTGCAATTCATTTCCGCGGTGATGCAACAGTGCATGTTCTTGTTCGGCGTCAAGCAAAACTTGATACCACTCTATCACCCTGAGGCTAATCCAGCTGAAAGGAAAAATCGAGACCTGAAGGTTCAGCTGGCCATACTGGTCAAGAACGAACACCGCACTTGGCCCCAGTTTCTAGCCCAGGTAAGGTTTGCCCTCAACACTGCAACTTGTTCAACTACAGGGTTGACACCGTCGTACATGATGTATGGCCGCGAAATGCGAACACCTTTTGACGCACAGCATGACTTGCGTGCGATCTTAGATAAAGAAGCGTTTGTTCCTCAGGTTACGCCTTATCTTTCTAAATTTATTGATTCACTGCGGGATATAAGAGATCGAGTCGAGAGACAACAAGATCTTAGGAAGGAGTATGCCGACACTTCGCGACGTCCCTCTCCGGTTTTTCAGGTTGGTGACCAAGTATTACTAACGACTCACTCCCTTAGTAACGCACCCAAAGGCTTAACTCGCAAGTTCATGCCTCAAAGGGATGGACCGTATACAATCCAGAGGAAAATCAGCCCTACATCTTACGAGTTGGTCGATAGTCAGGGTCAGGTCTTAGGTTGTTACCACGTTTCTGATCTTGTGGCTCTGATTGGTACTCACTCTGAGTTCCTAGAACCCGTCCAACCACGTCGTCTGCGTGGTCGGCCACCTAAGGCTACAAGGAAAGCGCGCTCCTAGTTTTAACCAAATCACTCACGGGTCGATTTCGTGACTTGGAGGAGGAGGATGTAGCGCGCGCTATTTCTGGGAACCGCTAAAAAATTAAAGGAATATTATTTTGTAGCTTAAGCAAAATGATTCTGAAACTAGCACTTTGCGGCCAGATAGAGGTGGAGAACATTTTATGTTAAAAAAATTCAGGTCTGGGTGTGATTTGTGGATTACACAGAGTTGACACACACGGGAATCAAACCCGCGACATAGTTAGTACGCCGGTGCCAATTGCCGTCGTTTGCCAAAAAAATCGCCAAATTTCATCGAAAATTCTTGCTGTGTCTTCAACCAACACCAATTTCCAGAAAATACAGTTTCAAGAAAAATACTTCCATATTTTTAATTCTTAATAAATTTTTATATATTTATATATAGAGAGAACAGCCTACAACGTCGTGACAAATCCTTTTTTTTACTTACCGAGAGCGGAGCCCAAAATGGCCAACAGGATGATGGCACGCATGGTTCTAGCCAATCGAGTTCTATAATAAGAATTAATGAATATTAATACGACACCTTAGTATTTATACTAATTACTGATATCTTTATCAAAATCATTAGTCATTGTACGTATGTAATCTTAGGTTTTCCATTAAGAAAACCCAAAGCAGTAGTTTTATCTAGTTTCACAATCCAATTACAATGACAACTGAAAATAAATTTGTTTAGTCTATATGGTTATCAGTTCCGATCGCGATTATTTCAGTTTTATAGTGGGAATTTTAAGCTTAAAGATACCTAATTAATTACGTTTTTTTTGTGAAGGGAAAATCATCAAATGACTTCTCCCACCCAGGGTCGGGCGGGAGGGAGTGTCAGACTCTTACTTTTTTTTTATGGAATAGGTGGCAAACGAGCAGACGGATCACCTGATGGTAAGCGATCGGCGCCGCCCATGGACATCCGCAACACCAGAGGTGTTACAGGTGCGTTGCCGGCCTTTTAAGAAGGAATATGCTCGTTTCTTGAAGGTTTGAAGGTCGTATCGGTTCGGAAATACCGCCGCCGGAAGATCATTCCAAAGTTTTGCTGTGCGGGGCAGAAAGTTTCGGGTGAATCGCACAGTTGTTGACTGCCAACCATCTATGTGATGGGGATGAAAAATTATTCGCGTGGAACGATGGCGAAAAGATGCGGCGGGGATCAAACCAAACAATTCCTCAGAACACTCCCCGTGATAGATGCGATAGAGAATACATAGCGAGGCTACATCCCTACGCAGTGCCAAAGAGTCCAGCCGGTCCGAGACAACAGGGCAGTCGACAATTCGAACAGCTCGTCGTTGAATGCGGTCCAGAGGGAGAAGCTGGTACTGGGGTGCCCCCGCCCAAAGATGAGAACAGTATTCCATATGGGGCCGAACTTGCGCCTTGTAAAGTAGCAGGCGATGCTCCGGGGTGAAATAATGCCTCGATCTATTGAGCACACCAAGCTTCTTCGAGGCTAACTTGGCCTTACCCTCTAGATGACCGCGAAACTGGACTTCGCTCGATATGTCGATGCCAAGTATCCCAATACCGGCCGAGGCTGTGAGGGGGGTGCTCTGAAATTGAGGGGATACGACCAACGGCAATTTTTTAGCAACGCTTACTGACAAAAACCCCCCTGTTCCTTCTCCTGCTCTGGGCCGAGGTCGCGGTGCCTCATTGCGCTTACCCGGCAACCCCGGCTGAACATCAGCCCTTTAGGGCCCCGTCTGTGGTGGTCTATTGGCTCTTTGAGGCGCGCGCGGAACGCTACGCGCCGTACGCTCGGGCCTGGTTCTGGTCGGGCGGCGAGCTGTCCTTACTCGCCGACCGCAGACCCGTGCTTACGGTGGCCGGAGATCGTCCCTTGATCCCCGACGCCCGTAGTGACGCCAATTGCGGCGGCTGGGGCGTGAGGAGGAGGATTGCTCCCTCACGCGGGCCGCCTCTCTCTTCGCGAGCATGTCTGCTTCACAAAAGGAGGAGACGGCATCCAGGTTCCTCTCACTCCGCACCATGGCCTCGACTAAGAACCTAATTACGTTTGTGATGCTAAATCGTCCCCATCCAGCCCACCCAGCCCATCATCGATTATGGTGACGTGTACGTGGTGTGTATGTGTGTGTAGTGGTACGTGTGACTCGCTCACAAAGATTTCAATAATATTACTTAACCTTCCTATACTCGCGCCAATTTTTGTAACACCTATACTCGCGCACGGTGTCACAGACCGATAGTTTGTACCCCTACAACATATTTTTTTTAACAAGAAACACATAAACTATTACTATTATTTTAAAGTTTAGGATGTAATGAAACAAAACAGTATAACTAAAAGTTATTTTATTAATTATTTTACCGACTTATAGTTTTATCACAAATCAGTCTTAAAATTTGAGATTATTTTCTTAAGTACTAAAAAATTAAAATAAAATCTGAACTTCTTTTTAAAAACAAATTAAACTTCTTATTAATAACAACAAACATATCAATAAACATATTTATCTATGTTTGACTTAATTTTGAGCCTCGCCATAGCAATCAGGGCATACGGTTACAGCATGCTCCAAACAAAAGTATTTTTTGCAGGTGGCACAGTTGTAACGTGTCTTGCGGTTTTTTTTTGAAGAGCAGTATCCACAACGACCTACTTTATTATTGTTAGATGTTGCTGCAGACTCGGGTCCATCTAATTTGCATATTTCGGTGAGCCTGAGTCTTATGTTTCTCGGCAAGGATGAAATGAGAGCCCGTCGTCTAAGTTGCGGATTGATCAAATCGTATGCTAAGGCTTCAAGGAAGACTCGACGGCTAATTTTCTTGTTAGGGTTATTCTGCAAGTATATTATAAACGTATTTATACCCGCTACATTCATTAGGCTGTAAAATATCACCATAGGCCATCTATTTGTCCCACGTGCGACGTTGTAAGTCTCACACATTTTGTCTACGCTATCTACTCCACCTTTGGTTCTATTGTAGTCCATTATAATTTCCGGTTTACCTGTATCTTCATTGATCTGGGCATCATCGTGCATGCTGGATACGAGAAGGACATTTTTGCCTTTTTTTGGTACATAGGATACAAGACTGCAATTGCCTCGGTGCCCGAATAAACTAGATTTTTCGGCTCTTCCTCGTATTTCCGTGAAATTTTTAGGCAATTCTCGTTTGTTTTTACGAATTGTCCCAATAACTGTCAATTTGTGTTGAGACTCAAGCTTATCTATCAATGGAATACTAGTGAAGAAGTTATCACATGTGATATTACGCCCAGTATTGTGAATATTTTCACTCAATCGCAAAACCAAAGCCAAAGCGGAGTTATCAACTTGGTATGGACCGTCTGGTTGCTTCCCAACATAAACTTCCATGGTATGGGTATAAAACATTTTGGCATCTGTCAACGCATAAATTTTGATTCCATATTTGTTGGGTTTTGATGGAAGTACTGGCGAAAGTTACAACGTCCTCTAAAAGCCTCTAACTTCTCGTCAATTGTAACATACTGAGACACGCTGTAATATTTTTTGAACGTTCCCACAATTATATCAAACAACTCTCTAATAGGTGCCAGTTTATCCAGTTGTATTCTCTCTTCTCATGTATCTTTACTGTCAAATCTGAGACAACGCATCAATAGATAGAACCTGGATAATCCCATAGTCAAACGAAATATCTCCGGGGATGACCCGTCAGTTCTGAAAAAATCTTTGGCATTTAGACGAGCGTTCCTTCTGACTCCAGCAAATAGTAAAAGGCCTAAAAAAGCTTCAATTTCAATATTGTCTGTATCGGCGCAGTCTCTCTCTCTTGTGAAATTATGCTTCATACGATTAATTTGTTCATTAGTGTACTTTACTATCAGGCTGATAGTGCCCTCCGAAAAAAAAAGCCGCCACAGCTCACCTGGTTCCTTCAAATTTCTAGCTTCTCCTCTAGCGCCTGGAAGTTGAGTAACTATATTTCTAGCACGTCGCCTAGTTGGGTTTGAGGCAGGAGATTTATTCCACCTTGTCTGTCCATCTTTTCCTAAGTAAAAATCATGGGATCGTTCATTATGTTCTTCCTCAGATATCTCGTCATTGTCATCGTCTTGCTAGGTATCGTATGTCTCTTCTTGTACCTCCACGTTATCTTCCACCTCACTGTCATTTTCGTCTTCATAGCTTGAGCTAGAACTTAATTCTTCCAGCAACAATCTGATGTGATCATCGTCCATTTTGATATGAGTTAAAACCTAAAAAAGTTTGATAAAATTGGTCAAAAAATAATATAGAGCAACATACATACATATATTTTACTATATATACTTTATAAAGTAATCAAAGTCCCTAAAAAATATACAAATGCACGAAATAAATTATATTAATACTTACACAAAAAGTTACACCTATACTCGCGTCGGTCTCGTGGACCGATTGGTGACGAGTGCTACAACACGTGTGTTTCGCCCGAACGCGCGGCGTGCACTAAAACGAAGTTAGCCACAAATCCGGCAGCTAGCAAGGAACTCAACTTCTTAGAATTTACCTGCATAAAAATAATTACGAAAATGTGTTTCGTCGGTCTCACAGACCAACGCGCGAGTATAGGAAGGTTAAATGTGACAACTAGACAGTTGAAATTTGTATATATGATTCAAATTTCAACTGTCTAGTTGTCATATTTTATGAGATACAATCTCGTAACAAACAGACAATCGCAAGGACAGCGGAGTTTTAGTAATAGGATTCCCATTTTTTTACCTTTTAAAATGGGGCCCTAAAACGATTTGGAACAAAAGTTCAGCTGGTTACAGAAGCTAAAAACTAAACTTGCGTTACCGACGTGAATTGGACCAAGAGGTCACCAATTACCTCATTAATTCGACAACACACAAGTCGTACATACCTACGTAGTTTTACACTGTTTTTTTATGATTAGATACAAGTAACCTGAACATCGAACTTGTCTATATGACTTCTCTTCTTCTTTAGATATTTCGATGTGTTCAGTCTGTGACCGACTAAGTATTGGCAATCAACCAATAGTCCTTTTTGCACCCTTTCTATGGTATAGGCCGGCAGACGAGCAGACGGATCACATGATGGTAAGCAATCGATCAGAGAGAGAAAAAGTTCGGTAAAGCACTTGTTACCGATGTTATCGCGGTTAGGGATCGGGAGGATGTATGGGATTTAGTGTGTGGTAACCTGACTCAATCTTCTCTAAGAGGCTATAATATATTTTCAGTCGAGTTGGCCAATTCGTGCCAAAACATCTCTTATCCACTTTTTAAGTAATAGTTTGCTTCTTTGAAAATTTGATTTGTAAAATATTTATGTAATCAGTCAGTAGTCTGATTTCTGTTTGAGGCATGCGCAGTAGATGAAGCGTATTCTCGGGACTGGTTCTGATCAGGTGGTGGGCTAACCTTCTGCTTTTTTATTTTCTTTTCTATAATAAAATCGTTGGCCGCCATCCCGCGCTTATGCTACGGTGGCATGAGAGCTCCTGCATCGGTTGGAGCTTGAAGAGGGTAGTTCCTACAT